ACCATATATGTCAATAGAAGTATAGATCTGTGTCACACAAGGAAAATAATGAATTTTATGGATATTTTAGAGGCAGTTTATGTGTACTTGTTTTCCTAAGGGTCTGTTAAGTTTCCTATCTCCAGAGTGTGTGCATACATTTTATGCTTGAGGTGGGGCTATAGTCTTCGGCATATGGTAGCAATATTAATTTGAGTTTTGTAATGTGGCCATTAGTAAACAATACGTCTCATCTGCTGTGGTTCCTATTAAAAAGAAGGAAGTGAAATGCTGTTGATTTTACTGGTTTGATTTTAAATAAGAATCATCTGTCTGAAATCAGAATTAATTGTGCTAAGGGAAAATAAGACCCTTAAAGCACTCCAGAAACTTTTCTATCCTTTCAGTTACATAAATCTGTTTATAATTATTCCTAATAAATTTCAGTGACAGTGCAACCAAATAATGAAGTTGTATTCCTACTGTTTCTTTGAAGAAACATAATCTTCTATTATGTTTTAAGCAGGTATCATATTTTTAGTGTTTTTGTTTGGTTGGTTGGTTTTGGTTTTTGTTTTTTTTTCAGGGGGGGGATATAGCTGGTAATATAAAATTACTGAATCACTTCATAAAATTTGAAATTGAAAGGTAACATTGTGGATTTTTATAAATCACAACTTTTCACAGTAATTACCAAAACTGGTCTTGGAAAAATGGAAGAGAGGAGGTTATCTTATCTGGAAGTTGTCTAAAACATTTTAACATGTTCTTTTTGTTAAGGAATTCTAATTTTATCGTTCATGTTAACACTCTCTGAGCACTCACTAAAGAGGTCTTATCTTCAGAAACCCAGCTGCTCTTCCAGCTCATAACCTGACATTTTATGGCTTAATAGTTGCTTTTTGCTTTATTCCTTCACTCATTCCTGGTTCCTTAAAGAAGCTGATTTAAAGAATGGGGCCTAATTATTCTCTACTAGATGGAAATGCCTCCTGTGGGCTTAAAACAGCTCATTCTCTTTTTCTACAGTAGCAATAATGGTGAAGTCTTTTTATTTGCTACCCAAATATTTTTCCTTCATTGGTTGCATTCTTTCCGGATTCTTTTTTTGTTCCTCAGTATTGAATTTATTTTTAGCATTCTTTAATAATACAGCTTTTCAGCATAGATCTGATAATATTAATGAAACTTCAGAGCTTATGGACAGAGTAGCTCCAGCTCTGCAAAGTTGTATTTATGGGAGCTGCTCCAAAAGTAATACCTTCTGTTTTTTTATGTTAGTCCACAATATCAGAGGCGGACGTTGGTGGCATTGCAGTAGGGGTTGAACCTTCCCCCCAGTATTCTATTACACGTTGTTGCCATACAGATGGCAGCAGAGGGGGAGTCTGACACAATGGTGTCTGACATGGAAATGTGTATGAAGCAAAGGTGTGTCATTGAATTCCTCCATGTGGAAAATGAGGGCATCCATTGACATTCGTCAGTGTTTGCTGAATGTTTATGGAGATCAAACAGTAGATTTGAGCACAGTGAGGCAGTAGATACAGATTTTTGTGAGTGCTGCATGCAGGTTGTTGTTCATCGCTGACAAAAATGAGTAGCTAATGGTATTGAGTATGTTGAAAAACAGTGTTTTATAGCTAGAATTTGGTCAAACAAAGAATGTTATTGTGCTTTTTATATCTGTAGTAGTTTCCATGGAAGTAAATAGGATGCATTACTTTCAGAGTGACCTACATATGTGTAGAGACCACATACACATGTATCAAGAACTCTTCTAGAATTTGTTTTTATTTTTCATTGTTCTTTGCAGAAATACCTGCTCCAGTTATTTTATTTTTTTGTTTTTCTCACTAAGAACATCAGTGTTCACTTCAAACACTGACATATTTTTCTGTTATTCCCTTTTTTTCCAATTCTAACTCACGCAGAGAAAAACAGTTGGATTTTACCCATTTAAGTGAACAAATAAACACAATTTTCTGTGGTCACAGCCTTCACAATATACTGAGATTTTGTTACAGTTTGATTTAAATCATTATGTAGCATGACTTACATAAGAATAAATTTACTAGTTGTCTTGTATTTAATTTCCTAATGAAAGATTAATTCATAGTGTCTTTTAAACAATAAATATATTGATTTGCCTCTACATAAAGCTTGTATAATAATTTGGGTATTATTTTGTGCTAATTGGGAAAATAGACTGCATAAGCCATTAAACAATTATATAAATTAGCATCATGTATTTAAATTTGCAGTGTTTATGTTCTTCTGTTTCTAGAAAACAGTCTGTGATATCTCTTATTTACTGTAGATCGTTAGGCTTTTACCCATTATTTGTATCAAGCTGTTTTTAAATGGAAATGGAAATTGAAGTAAAACATGAAAAACAATATTTTAAATAGATTTTTACTATTTTAAGCAGCTTAATATCTGAAGGAAACTGTCTTTAATGTAGAAAATATATTTTAGAAAGGCAACTAATTTGTTGTTAATAAATGAAGTTGCCTTTCTCTAGTCGCCATGTCATTTTAAATGTATTAAGCTGTGTCTTTCAACCTCATGTGCCTATATAGACTACAGGAAGAAGAATTGCTCTCTTCCCTACATGTTTGTTTTCTTGTTTCAAAAATCTAAAGTAATTTGGAGTTGCAGTAAACTGAACCGCCATCCAGTGGTACTCCTTCTGTACATGCAGAAGAGATTATGGCTATGTAACTGGTTTATTATTTCAGCAGGTTTTAGTTCCAGTTACTTCACCAAGCAGAACGAGGCTTGCTTCTTGATTTTACTTAATTGTCAACATTTTCAAGAAGCAGAAGTAAAAAGAAACAATACACTGATAGTGTTTTTATGCAAAATAGAAGTAATGATAGAAATCAGAAGTACTGCCTCTGATAGACCTTGCCACAGTTTCATTTTTCATTTAACTTAAAGAGTTTATGAATGAAAGCACGAAATCAGTGTAGGACCACATTTACATTTATTCCCTCACTGTATCATGGGTTGGACACTAACAGTGTCACTAGTGTTGAGCATCATTAGTTAGTGTTGCCAAACCTTTCCAAAATTGACTTTGTCACCAAAATAAACAGGGACACACTTGGGTAATGTTTAAAATCAATGTCATGAAAATTAGAATTTCCCACTTAATCAAAAAAGTAAATGGAAGTTTCAGTTCTACTGGAGGACGAAAGTACATTCTTCATGATGGTATGTGGTCATGTGGTATCATCTCTTAGGAGTGTTATATACATGATAGTTTCCATTCTTCAGGCATTTTTCAATTTGTTCTCCTTAACTTTGAGATGTGTTCTTGCTCTTTTTCCATTTTTAATTCAATCCTTTGAGTGTCTTAGTCTTTGCCAGAAAACAGTAAAAATATCTGTGAAAGAAGAAACAAAGCAAAAGCTGAATAATTTGAAGTGTCAGATTTTTGTTTTGGTGTAGGTGTTCTGTATCTCAGGAGCTTCACTATTGCAGTGATTTAGATTATATAAAATAGCTATTGTTTGTTTTCTGCTGACAGTGTACTGCTCCTTCAAGTTGTCATTTTTGATTGTGAGCTTTGCTCATCATGTGGAAAAGATTAATCCTGACATAAGCTTGGAAACTGTTTTGTGTTGCAGCTTCTTTGTATATTCTTGACAAATGCTTCAAGTACATGGAAAAAGTTGAAAATATCGGTTAGAAATCTTGTGACAAAATTGAATTTCTCTTATGTGCTAATGAAAATTTTTAATCTAATATGAAAATTATCTTGATATAGCCCCAATATTATAAAACAGAATATATTCTCTGGTTGTGAGGTAAGTATTAATTAGTTTTTCTTTCAGCATGGAAATGTTTAATATCCCATGCATCTTATGCTGCCAATTAATTATTGATAGCTGAATTGTCTCAATTCTATCTTTTTTCTTACAAACACAAAGAAAAAGCCTTTAAAATATTTATTCTGTGAAATACTGCTAGAGGCAAGGGCTCTGATGTGCTCCTTCAGTTCTCTACACACTACTCCTCCTTGCACATCTATGCAGCTTGTTTACATGTCCTGGAGTTGCGCCACGTAGGGCAGACTTGGGCATCACAAAGGGAATTTGTCAGCATGCACTGGTGTTGGGCAGCCAGACTCGAACTGAGTTTAAGGACAAGGGAAGAAGAAAAGTGCTCAGCTTCTGGATTCACGCTCATTCTGTTTTAGCTGGGGCTGTCTTAAGCACTACTAAAAGTAATGGTAATTCCAGACATTAAGAGCGGAAAGGTTTTCATAGCCCTTTTAGTCAAGCTTGCTGACTGTTGTGATTAACAGAATGCTCCAGGCATTCATATCTGTTTAGTAAAGCTGGATTTTTAGAAATAATTTGTCATTTTTCCTTTTAACCGGGAGACTTTTCTGTGTCTCAGACAACACGTAGTCAAGAGGCTGTTTAAAGCGAGTGCTATTTATTTATTAAAACATGTATTATTAAAAGGACTGACGAATAGCAGTGTGTATTGCCTGAGAGACCAGTTTCCTCTTTTCAGGATATTCCAATTTGCCCTTTAAAAAAGCAAGTGTGTGTTCTTACTTTTGCCAAGAATGGACCAAAATGGAGTAGTCTGGCTCCTAAGAAGCCACTGCTATTTCTAGAGCACAGGGTCATCAGTGTCTTCTGTACATAAAGTACACATTTAGAAAATGACTTAATGAAGAAGATAATTTTTGCCTGGCTTCTTGTCCGACTCCTTCAGTTACCTTCAGGACCCAACAGGCAAAACCTGCAGTCTCCAGGGCTGCAAAGAAGGGGCCTGGGGGAGACACAACTAATTGTGAAGCAACACTTTTATTTACAGTGTGACCAGATTCTCAGCTTATTTGGACCTCAAGATTAGTTTAATTTCATAGCACAAGTGTTTTGTTTTCCAGGTCCTTGTTTTTTTTTTTTTTCCTCCTTTCTTGGGACTCTTCAAGAAGGATAGAGAAGATAACCTCCATAACAGTGTTCTTTTTTTTTTTTTTTTTTTTTTTAATAAAGTTTGCCCAAAGCAGACATCTGAAGAATTGTCTTCCAATCGTGATTCGAGCCTTACAAATGCACCAGTGCAAAGCAAGCTAGTATCTTCCTTCCAGCAGCACACAAAGAAAGCACTTAAGCAGGTAAGCTCCTGCTGACTGCAGGTCAGTTGGCTGTCCTCCACATGGGTATCTGATATGAATGTGAGAATGCGACGTCAGCAGAATTTCAGGGCATTTCTGAGAGGATTTGTAGGATTTTGTTTAATGGTGCATTGAAAGGTTTTTTTATGTTTGTTTGTTTACCAGTCCTGCCATTTACTGTGTTTTTGATGTTTTCTTAAGGAAGGAAGCAATCTTAAGCAAGGAAGCAGAATTGTTTGTATTAATCACATCCCAGGTTTTTCTATGTAAGCACTTATACTGAATATTTTATGTGAGGCTTAAAATAAAACAAAGATTTTGGAGTAAGTTCTACAGATAGTAAGAATCCAGATATACTTGCTCTTCAGTTTTCCTTTATGGCCTGCTTAGTAATTCTTTTTCAAACTAAGTCTGACACTGCAATGTGTAAGAGTGGGATTGATTTTGGTTTTTGGATAACCTCTGATTCAGATGATTTAGGCTGCAAGTAATATAGTAAAACTTCACAAAAGTAACTACATATTAAAAATCAGTTATTAATAGAGAGTATAACTGTGAAATTTATTTTCCAACAGTGCCAAATTAGTTCAGCTTACAACAGGACAAATGAAAAACTTAAAAAATGATAATTAAAGAAATGTATCAGTATCTCCTCAATTTTGAATTTGTAGAAATCTGTTTTAGTCACATAAATATTGTAAGAAATGAAATACAGCTTGTTAAAAACATTAGTTTGATGAGATGTCGTTGCTTTTATTTTTCTTGTGACTCCTCTCTTAGTTCTGTTTAACTGAGGTACAGTATTTCACAGGGTAGTTTATTACAGAGTTGTTGATTTAGGCTTAAGTTAAGGAAGGCCTGTCCGTGTTGCCTTCTTGAAACGTTTAAGTATTTATACTTAGGTTTTCATGGAGTCTGAGTTTAAATCCACTAAAATTAATAGACTGGTATTATTCACAGCAGGTTTTCTTGTACTTACACATTCTGAAGACTGGGGAGGATTCTTAGATTGGGGTCTCACAACTGTTTGATCAGGAAAGTTGGACAGTGAGCAAAAAGCAACTCACTAGCTGCATGATCACTGAGAGAAACACACACAGCTTTTTGGAAACTTCTGTATAGATTCTTTGTAATAAATATATGAACTTAGGAGCGGATGGAGCAGGGGAAGGGAAGGAGGGAAAAAAAAAAAAAGAACAATTCAAGATGAATAGCAGTGAGAACAGTTTAAGAAAGAGCAAACTAATCAAAATAGCTTAATGTAAAAAGTCATAACACTGATGGAAATCATTGAAAATATTCCCTAAGGCAATAGGGTTAAAGCACCATCTGAAAGTTAAGTAATCAATAGAAAGAAATCAGTTTTAATTAAGTTGATAGTAATTAGATCTTGTACTTCAGAGTATGAGATTATTAGTTGAACTATCAGTGAAATGTGTTCTCTGCATTCATTGTGGAGTGGTAGAGGATTTTACCTGTTTTACTTTTTCTCAGAAGTTTCAGATGCTGGCTACTGCCGTATGCATGCTGCAGATTTGATTTAATTTGATATGGTAACAGGGAAAAATGAACTTCAGCAGTGATTTAATGGATAAAATTACTGTGGGAATTTTATTCTGTTGCTTTTGTGGATACATAACGCAAAATTTGTTCAAATGACGGCCTGGAGTTCATTTAAATGCAGAAAAAATTCAGGCAGTTGGCTGCAATAGTCTTCTGATACCAACTTATAGGTTCTGTGCTAAAATAACAAAAGATGAGCCAAAAGCCTGCTTTCAGCAATATTTATGATGTATAATCATATATATAATGTCAGAATGAGGTGTGTATTTCTTTTGTTGTCCACTAAAAATTAAAGAGAGGCAGGTTGATAATATGAAGTACACCTGAAGATCTGGGCTCAAATCAACAGGTTTTTTCCACTGTTTATCTACTTGTTAGTCACTGTGGTCATGTCATTCTCTTTAAAGTGTTATGCTGGATATACAAATGGTTTCATTTTTAATGAATTTTAGAGATAATCCTGGGTGTAGGTTGCAGAGAGCAATCTTATGTTTCCTTGTGACCGCCTGCATTTTTAGGATGTTCTTGTGAATCAAATTGGTCATGACAATGAATTTCTTGAGCTATGCCAGCAGCTTGGAGGAAGGGGCATTTTCTCAGCCCTGGCTCTTGGTCTTGACTTCTCTCAGGTAGCAGTGGATCTGGAGGTGCTTCACAGGGGGTAGGGAGCTTCACAGTTCCTGTGGACTCTCAGAAGGTCTGTGTCACACTTCAGACCTTATTTCATCACATTTAAAAGCCTGGGCTGCCATTTTGTTCTGGAAACTTTCTAGCTTCACAACCTCCCATAGTGTCATTTTGCTGGAAGAGGTATTTCAATTGTTTCACCACCAATTGTATTTCATGCTGCTTATTTCATTTTTGAGGAAGTTTCACTTTTGCTCCTGAATAGTTGTTGCAAAGTCCAACAAAATATTTCCTATTCATGTTAGTTTAGACAAAAGAGTCTGGTGTAGAGCTGTCTTTTATGCTCATCTTTCTGATGGCAGATTTTAAAGATATTATTTCCCTTTTGGTGTTGGAAGTGGTTGGGTATGTGTGCCCAGCTGTTGCATTTCTAGTAACATTGGAAAAGGTGTTCCTGGCATGCTGTCACATACTGATTTCCCATCAGTACTGATCAGTTCCATACCTCATTTTCACACTTGAGGATTTTGGCATGCAGACCTATGTAAGGATCTCTTACCAGGAAAGTACTGAACTACATCTGCATCTGCTAACAGTGGCACATGATCACACTACTGTGTGAATTATTCTTGCTCTGGACAAGGCTAAACTCAAGTATGGATATCAAGTCATGGCATAGTATCTACCATGCTCCTCTCTGGTCCAGTTTCTGTTCCATTGACTTGAGGTGTTACTTTTTCTGGAAGTCTTCACTATGTACAGATTTGTCTGTATCTATCAAGATGTTCTTGGAACATTTATCAGAAGAAATGATCATACCTGCAAACTGTCCTCACATAGGTAACACGTGAGCATATTGTGAATATCAAGGACATTGAGGTGGTGTTAGTGTCTGTTGGACTCTGATAGCCAAGTACCTTGCCCATCAGTGTACCAGTTGGTTCCTGAGTCAGTACCAAGAAAGAATAAAGAACTTGAAGATGTGATATAACGATGTCTGGGATGATATTAGACCTCTCAGACATGGAAGAAAATCCTGCCTCACTTTTGGCACTTTGGAATCAGCACCAAGAAGGGTACCCATAAATTTTCTGTTGGGAGAAGAGAAGGATACTTCATTCAGACTCAGAATCTGAATACAGACCAGGACATGTCTGAGACTGTGCTGGGCATCCAGATCTCTTTGTAGAGACAGAAACTCCAGAGACAGCAGCCAAGTGGGTTTGGGAGGAGACAAGCTCAGGAAATAAGGGAATCTACTCAAGGTATGTTATTGCTGCTGCTTTGTTTTGTTTTTCTTAACTTTGGGCTTTGTCTGCATGCTTGGTGGCTGGGTTTGTAATATGTGCCACTAATTTATTCATGAAGTGGGTAGATGCAGTTTCTCATGAAGAAGGAAGCACCCATCCGTATGATTTGTTCTTAGAACAGAAGTGGCAGCTCCACACCCCTTTTCATTTCAGTAGATGCTCTCAGCCCCCGAGCAGTAAGAAAGCTGTGGGGAAGTTTGGCTCATATGTTGCTTCTGAATTATAGGACATTGGACATATAAACTCCAAGTAATATTTCAGGCTAACTTTTCTGGCATAACTATAATTGATATTATTAGAAACCAATCGATAACATGAAGCAACAGAAGATTAAATTTTGGAGCAGGATGGTGAAGACCATGACTTAGCCCTGATTTGCCCAAATTCACTGAACTGTTTTATCAGGATTTTTCGTATGGTTGGTTGGTTTTTTTAATTACACAGGTGTCCATGTGCCTAGGTTGGCACTGAAGGTAGAATCCTGTACTCCCTTGACTCTGGTGTGGATTTGCTTTCCTTTCTCCAGCTCAGGCATACCTCTTACCTTGCTTTGAGAGAAGAAAAAGAGCAAACTCACCAGTCTTGCTCCCTCCATGGTCATTCTGTTAGGACTTCTTTCCTTGACTACAGCCAGATACAGGCTCTCCTGAAGCACTTTCCTGTCCTTAGAAATTAATCCATATGACTCTGTCTATGGTGTTTGTCCTTTGACTCAGTTGAGGAACAACTCATTCGTATGTTCTGATACAAGCCTGATATATTTGTCTGCCCTCCTTTCCCATCTCCACCCTTGAAGAAATAAGCATGACAGAGGAGATTATTCTGAATATGACCAGAACATGTAGAGTTTGAGCACCAGGTGACTTCCTAAAAGTCTCTGAAATTCCACTGTGAACTGAGAGATACTTCTTGTACTGAATTCCTTGGTAATAGAGAATTTGTTGTACTGTCTTAGAGCCTACATTAACCATTTTCCTATGTTTCATTTCAGATACTGCAGATTTACCAAGGCCACAGTTGGAGAATTCTGGCTCCCTAGCTGAAGCGTTTGATCAGATGTCTGGCAACATAAGTGATGATTCTTGACAAATTTTCCTGTCAACAAATGAAAAACAAGAAAAATGTGTTGCTTTTTGACTACTAGAGAGACATGGGAAGGGACAGTGGAATTTACAAAATGCATTCAGGAAAATGGAATTTCGAAGATGCTAAACTAAACTGATTTTCTGATTGTCAAGACAAGTCTAGGGAAGAGGACAGAGAAACTATGGCAGGGAGACTGCATAATGGGGAAAAGAAGCTGGAAGAGCAAGAGTTCCAGCAGGAGCTCTTCAGGGAGTACATGCATTGCCCGAAGGCAGGCTGCACGGTATGTCCCTCTAAAGGTCCCTATGCGTGGGCAGCATGCACCAGCTGCTCAACACAGTGCTTTGGTAAGACGCAAGACAGTGTTTATGGGACTTTTTTTTCTGGGTCATCCCCATGGTCCACAGCCTTTAC